TTTAACTGAGGCTGAGCTTAATCAGGAACAATGAGATGACAACATTTGTCCTTGGGGTTCTGAGGACTCTGCTTGAGCAGAAGGCAGGGGACATGCCCAGCCCGGGCCTGGGCCTCAGGGAGCACTGAGCTGAATGTGCTGTGGAGAGGAAGGCTGAGTGACCAGGCCAGGAGCCAGAGGGGGAGCCCATGCTCAGCTGTCACAGCTCAGCCTGGCGGGACCCTGAGGCGGGTTGTGGGGGCGGTGCTCTGCAGAGCGGGGTTCATGGGTCAGAACGGGTGGCATGGGAAGGGGACTCCCTCCTCTCCTGTGTCGCAGCATGGAGCACCTCCCTGACACTCAAGGCTCAGCCAGAGAGAAGCTGGAACAGGCTTGGTCCTCTCAGAGGACACACTTCACGGGCTCCCAGTCTGGAGGCAGGTGGCAGAGTGGACCCCACCCCAGGGGCGGTGGCTCCTGTCAGTCACTCAAGGTCTGCAGCTGGGAGGGCTTCTTGTCGCCCACTCTGCTTCAGCTGCACTGGCTCCAGCGTGACGGAGGGACCAGTGACCAAGGCCCACCCTGCACTGAGGAGAGGGAGTCTGACACAGCCTGCCTGCCGGTTTAAGTTGAGCAGATTCTAGGCCAGAGGGACTTCTTGAGTCATTCTTGAGAATGACATTAAAAGAAGTGGGGTAATCTGGCGCCTGATGGACCGCTGACCGGCTCCTCTCTGCATACACCAAATGCGTGAAGACATGCCGGCTACTATTTAGAGAGTGAATTACTGCTGACCACGACGCTCAAGACGGGTCTTTTAATTAAGCTGGGAAGACGGGGGCCGAGGAAGCGGGACCATACCAGTTTTCTGTACTTGAAGCTCCCTCTTGGCTTGTTCCAGGATGGACTTGATTGCTTCATCGGAACCAGTGTCAGAGGCTCGGATGCGGGTGGTGATGTTACCTGTGGGGAGAAGCCACAGCAATGACATCAGATCCAGACTCTGTGTGCAAGATCAGAGCTGCAAGAAGACATCATTCTGATAACGGGCCCGAGCTGAGGCTGGTGACGTGAGGAGGCAGGCGTGGCCTCCCGCAGCCTGCACTGGCAGGAGCGCGACCTCACAGCTGTACCCAGCCGCTGGGCAGGAGGCTTCCTGCCGAACCTGCCTCCTGGGCTCCTACATCACCTGAGCTGGATGTCGCCCGGGGGTGGGGGAGCTGGGGGTGGTACCAGGGGAGAACAGACCATTTAAAGCACTACAAAAAAAGACGATATATTCTAAGGCAATATTTTCATGAGTCATTTAAAAGCATCTCCAACAACTGTTTTGGCTTGGGACTATATTTGGTCTCTGTATTATTTTTCCCAAACAGGGAAGGAGGGAAAAGGGTGGAGGCTGAGCCTCCATCAATCATTCAGATGCACCAGGTGAAGAGCCACAAGGCTGAACTTGAACATTTTTTGGATCTATGACCACACACTGTCTTTTTTGGAAATTTACAGACAAGGAGAGAAGGCTGCAGATTCCTAAAGGACAAGACCATGTTGTTACAGTCACAGGGTGGTGCTCACAGAGCAGCCACACACGCAGATGCCCTGGGCAGCTGAGGCCCGGGGCTGGCCACAGGTCCCCTGGAAGCTGCCCAGGCATTTTACTTGTTCACCACCTGACTCTACATGAAGCGCCACAGTATACCATTGAAAAGCAAGAACATCACAGGATGAAGCCCCATTAACTATTCGACTCCCAGGAGCCAGGAGGGGGTTGGCTTGCCCAGGCCCACAGGACAACCAACTGCATTCGGAACCTGTCCACCACATGGGACCTTTGACATATTTGAGTTAAAAGTTGCGGGAAGCAGCAGTACTGGCTCGATGTGATCACCTGATTTTTCTCAGAGCAGTAACTGTTACTTTTCCTCCTGCTTCTGAGAAAACAGGCACAGTGGAATTAGAATCAAGGGGGGGCTGGTGCTTGGGGACTAACCTTGGGGACACCCCTTCTCACGTGGTCTGGCTCAGTAGAGCACAGGCAGCTCAGGAGGAGGGGGCTGGGCATCTGAACCCGTGCTTTGTTTTATACTTACTAGCTGTTTTTCCATCAGGTTCCAGGCCAGAATGACACTGCACAGTTTTAACCCAAATGCACAGCTAAGGACATGCTGCTTCCTAGGTTACTGACTGCAAAGAGAAACACCTGCCTGCGACATACCTTCAGACCCATTTCTTCGTTTCGGTACTTCCTGAAATAGTCTGTTCAGGCTCTGGCCTGGATTCTCTGTTGAAAAACAAGTGCGGTAAGAACAAAACAATCAGGGGAATGGTGGCGTCGACGATATGGCTGCGTGACATGAAATCTGAGCCGCCTGTTGCTAAAGAGAGGGCTCTGGGCTTCCTGTGCAACTCGGGAGCTACGAGAAACTTCTAACAGGCCCTTCCCTGGCTGACTGGCCCATAGAGGCCACTGCTCACCTGCAAGAGGAAGCTGACAGACCTAAGTAGTGGCAAGGTATTGCCACCCAGAGGGCCTAAGGGAGGGAGAGCTGCCTCCAAGCACATCACCCACTAGCCTAGGACCGAGCCTTGCAGCCACTGTCCAGAGACACTTGGTTAACATCACTAGGGTGCTTGGCATTTGTGGGGCACATGGATATTGCTTGGACTGTCTCCCTTCTGGTTGAGTCTACATGTCAGGGTGTTTCAAATGAGGCTGATAAAGTCCTCACCTTGTATCACTGTTGAATTGGCACAGGGACTTCCTGTCCCTAAAGAGGGAAAGAACTCCTCTTATTAGGATGAGACTGGTTTTTAATCTTTGTATGAAGGGCAGGGTAGGAAAGGTGTCTGAGTAAAACTGCTGAGTATGTTGCTCTTGGCAGGCATGTTTTGGTCATGGTGCTAGAAAAATGACTAATGGGACATAAGGTGACCACAGGACAGATCCTCCCTGATGGGCAGGGAGAGGAGAGAGGCAGCTTCCATAGGCTGGACTCACAGCCAGTGCTGCAAGGACAGGGCCTGGTCACTGCTGCTGCTATGGGGCTGTTTGCCATGGGGCTCGATGGCTCTAGGGGCTGCTCCCAGTGGAAGCCCAGCGCCCAAGGTCAACTGGACCAGGCCACTAAGCTGCCGGATGTTGTAACATAATTCCCTCCAGGCCAGTACGTAGCAGCGGAACACTAAATTCACTAAGAAGGTGCTGAGCGGTTTCCAAGGCCAGCTCTCCCCAGTCTAATGGCTTAGCTCATGCCGGTCCTCCCTTGAGCTCTGGAAATGGTACCTCTGCAAAGAGTTTTACCTGATGTGATGCACAGATGTTTGTCACACGCACAGACACACACGCACACACACAGCCTCGTGACGGGCTCGCTCGCAGGCGCCAACCCCAGGGCGGCTCTCACCTCTTTGTCTGCCTTGGATGCTGCGAAGAGCCAAGATGTTCTGCTCGTCTGAGAGGAACTGCTTCATCTTGTGGAACGGCTCCTTGCCGCGGACGGTCAGCTTATTCCATGGCTTCGGCCGGGCCAGGATCTCACTCACGGACCCTTGAGACAGTCCCAAGACATAATGTCCGAAAATGCGCTGTCCGATATTGTGCTTGATCAGCTGCTCTTTGACCTGTCGGGCGATTTCTGCAGTGTCTATCTCCTCGCCCTCGGAGACGCTCCCAGCACTTTCTGACTGGCTGGGGGATGGGGCCATGCCATTTACGTCTGGGCTTTGTTGTAATGGACTTTGGGAAGATATGGAGTTTGTGCTGTATGGACCTGTTGAAAAAATCATGCTTGTGCTTCCTGCTTCCTGCATGGCCTTGGAGTAGAAGGACTGCATGAGCTGCCGCTGGAGGAGAGAGTTTAGTGCAAATTTTCCTGTAGAAGCCAGGGGCAGGCTGGGGCTTGCCAGGGATGAGCTGAAAAAGTCTTGACTTAACCCCGCTGGTGAGAACTGGTGTGTACCATTAGTATTGGAAGCCTGCTCCCCCGCGTTGCGGGACAACTGAGGAGGAGGGGAGGCCGGCAAGGGTCCAGGGCGCCGACTCTCAGGCTGGTCTTTCCCTTTTCTCCTGGCTGACCCTACAAGGAAGGGCAAACAGAATGCATTATGGGGGATTCAAAAGGGAAAAAAAACCAAGACCAGAATGCAAAGTTTGCCCCACAAAAGGGAAAAAAAAAGTGCAGATTTTACAAGGGCCAATGAGGTGTGTTGGTTTGTTTTCGATTGAATTTGTAATCAGCCAAACACGGCCCCCCAACACAAGCCACATGCATTCATGTTTGCGCCTTTCTTGTACGTTGCAGCCTGGAGAATCCCCTTGACAACAGTTCAAACTGCTAGAGTGACAAGGAGCCGGTAACACACAGGGAAGTCGACAGGTCGCACTCACGCTACCCCGAGGGCCCTGCCTGAGGAGCAGCAAACACTGACACTCGGGGACAGTGGGGTCGCGCCCACCGCGCTCTGAGGCGAATGCACCGCACCGAGTCCACTCGATCGAAGGCACGCACATGTAAGAACGCAATAGCATCGGAGCCCAGAACCTTTACACGGTTTACCAGATGCCAAACCAGAAGCACAGTCAGTGACGCCACCACTTTGGGACCAGCAAAGAAAGGCTAAGGATGGGGGACACGTCCCCAAGAAAAACCTGACAAAGGAAGAAAAGCGCCACTGAGCCTAGGAGGGCGGGTGGCCCTTTGAGCAGCCCCTGGAGACCCCCGAGAGAGGTCGCGCTCGATTCTGCCCTGACCGGATCGCAGCACCACTAGGAAAAGACCGGAAAGCAGCGTCCTCGGTCGCCCCTCCAAGATCTCGCAACGCTACCCCAGCTGCCCTCCGCAGCTCGCCGTGCGCGCGCTTCGTGTGTCGCAGGGTGGGGATGCCCAACACACGGGCTCAGGCGGGGCTCTCCTCAGCCGGCTGCGCCCCCGCCATGCATGAGCCCCGACTCACGGTCACCCTCGGCTTCCTCGACCCCTGGAAGCGAACCAAGCACCGCACGTGAGGCCCCGCGCACCTACCGCTCAGGTCGCTGTTGGAGACGCGCAGCGCCGTGTTCTCTGACTGCAGGGAGCGGCTCTTCTCCAGCAGCAGCACCTCCAGGGGCTTGGCTGCGTCCTGGACGGGGCAGAGCAGGGCTCACCACGGGGCCAGTCTCCCGAGGCCCGGGACCCGCCCCCCCCTCCCCACGGATCCCCACCTTTCAAGGTGTTCAAAGGGCGCTGAACACCTTCACGCCCCCTTGAAGAAAGAGTGAATTTTTGGTGAGGCAGTTTTTCTTCCTAGGCTCATCTGGCTTCTAGACAATTAGTCATTCTCTATTCTGTCCCCAAACTCCAACAGTCTAAGCTGGGGCCTCAATCAGCAGCAGGACTGGGGCACAACCACTGTCAGAAAGCAGTCGTCAACTTTCTTGTGCCAGCTATGATGACGTGTGCTGTCTTCTGGAAATTAGGAGCCAGATTCCACTTATGTTGTAATTTTAAAAAATGAATTTTTAGGGTCTCCCTGTGTTGCTATGGCTGAACCTCAATGCCTTGGCTCAGACCCTCCTGCCTCAGCCACCTGAGCAGCTGGATTAAGGCATGAGCAGAGGTACCCAGCTTCACTATGTGAATTGTAGGCGGCTACAGATGACAGGCTGCTGCTGTCACCCAGCCCCCACACCTTCTGGGGTGGTGCACAGGGGCTGCACCTGAGCCCACCTACTAGAGGTTGATCTTCAGCTCAACCTGAAGTGGTTTTACTTGTGGACTTATGGGTGCTGGGAAGGGATCTCAGGCCTCAGGTTGCTCAGTGCTCCACTACTGAACCGCAGGGCCGCCCAGGGGGCTTCTTGTCCCTGTCCTCAGGGCCCACCCAGGTGAGACCACACTGCACTGGCACCAGTCAGCTGTCTGCAAAGTGCTAACTTGCTCCTTTTAATTAAGGATTGTCTGTTTTCAGTGGCCTGAAGTTTCTTGAAGAATGACTCCTGGGGGTAAGTGAGAGGCCTCACATGGGGGGGGGGGCGCAGTGCAGTGTCATGGGTCCTGAGCAGGAATGGAGAGGCGTACCTGTGTCCCAGCTCCCTCAGCCGGTGCGAACTCCATGGACTTCAGGATACTGAAAGAGCAAGACAAGACACTGTTTTCTACTCCGACCTTTGATCTGCCACACTGGAGAGCATCAGCACCACCATCTCCTGCTCTCCAGGAACAAGGAACTGACAGCTTGAACAGTGTCCCTGGCAGGAATTTAATCTGATAATGTCTCTAGAGTAACTAGTATTCAACTAGCAGTTGGCTAGCGAAACTTTTTTTGCCCAGCATGTAAATCATTCCATATGGAGTCACACCAGGTCTGTGCCGAGCAGGATTTTAAAGTTTAATACAGACATCACGTTGCTGCTGCGAGTGGAATGTATTTGTAAAGCTTAAAGGGAAAGAAAGTTCTCCCAAGGAAGCTAGAGAGGGGAACTCACTACCCACTGACTACTGCCCATGTCCTTGCCAGGCAGCCACTGGAGACCCGGGGAAACAGACCAAGATGGCTCAAAGGCCAGGTGAGCACCCCCTCTGTAGCCCCCAGATCTGGGAAGGAGCCCAGAGGCAAAGGTGTGGTGATGGGAGGCTTGCCACTCCCCTGTCCTGGGCAGCTCTGACCCTGCGGTCACATGGGCTCCTGACTCTCCACAAGCTGGGGCTGAGTGAGGTCTGGCCCTCAGAACTGCTGTTTCTCCCATTCCTTTCTTTTTGCCAGGACCAGGAAGGAAAGGGGAAGCGAGTCTGTGGGGTCCACGGGAGCTGCCAAGTGCTCGGCTGGGGTGGGCCGGCTACTGGGGAGGTCACTACTTGCAGGGATACAGGGAGTCCACAGGCCCCTCCAGCATCCTGCAGCCATGAGCCCAGCTTCCGCCCATCTGAAGCTCCACGAGACTGTCATCCAGACACCAGAACGTGGGAGGATGCTACCATCAGGGCACAGGGCACGGAGCCTGGAGGCCATCCTTGGCCATGGCCATGGGTCAGTTAAGAGTCAGCCCCTAGTTCATCTGTACCTCTGCAGGGATCCTCGCCATGTAATTAACAAACACAGGGATGAGGGACAGCTGGTAACTTTATCCTGTGTTACTGAAAATAATAAAAGAATTCTGGATCCCTCGGGTCACACAGCACAGGTCACGAGTGGCCAGGACACATTCCTCTGTCCTCAGAGGGCTTCATGGCACTCACAGTCACACATCTGCCCCTTGTTTGACATCTTCTAGGATCGTGTGATGAAAGGCTAAGCCAGTCCGTAAGTTCATACAGGCTGAACATCCCAAGTCGGAAAACCAGAACCCTTTGAGTGCCCCAAGTGGCAAATTCCATGCTGTGGAACTTAATTTCATGCACAAAATTATTAAAAATATTGCATAAAATTACCTTTGGGCTACATAAAGAAGGTGCATAAGAAACAAATGAATTTCACATTTAGACTTGGGTCTCCTGCCCAAGGTATCTCAGTATGTATATACAAATATTTCAGAGTTCAAAATCCAGAATACTTCTGGTTTCAAGCATTCGAACAAAGGATACCCAACCTGTACTGAAAACACGAACATCTCTATGTTTATATTCAACAAATATTTCTCAATCACCTGTTGTGTGCCTGGCACTGTGGAAAGTCAGAATTTTCTGAGTCCTGACCTACATACACCCCAGGAAATGTGCAGGCAAGAAGCAGGGGGGCCTTGGCAGGAGGAGAAGGGCCTTGGAGGAGCAGGAGGTTTTACAGGCCACTCCCGTGCGTGGACCCGGGAGAGAAGGCACAGCCTGTGGAGGCAGTGGGAGGTGGGGCTGGGACAGGGAGGGGAAGGGGACTTGGGCCTGTGTCCAAGGGCACCTGGTTTATCAGGAAGAGGGAGGTCAAGAGCACATTTCAGCAGAAAAGTTCCCCAAGAGGAGCTTTCAGACCCGGATGCAGTGGTGGGGGCCATGGTCAGATGCAACAGAGGGCTGCTGAGAATGGACAGGCAGACCAGGAGCCTCGGTACCAGAGGATGGGGTGGAGGACCAAATCCCAGGGTGAGAGGGCAGGGACTGGCCAAGGCCATCACAACACACTGGCTCAAAGCTAGAAGGTCCAATTTCTTTTCTTCTTCTTTTTTTTTTTTAAATATATTTTTAATGGGGCTGGGGATGTGGCTGAAGCGGTAGCGCGCTCGCCTGGCATGCGTGCGGCCCGGGTTCGATCCTCAGCACCACATACCAACGAAGATGTTGTGTCCGCCGATAACTAAAAAATAAATATTAAAAATTCTCTCTCTCTCTCTCCTCTCTCACTCTCTCTTTAAAAAAAAAAAAAATATATATATTTTTAAGTCAACCATGTCAAATGTGTCCCTGAGCCGAAATGGGGTGGGGGCAGTGCAGTACTGCTGGGGCTAGAACCACAGAGGGTCAAAAGGTCCATCCAGAGGTGCCAGTAGAGGTTTTCTGCAGCCTGAGAAGGGTCACCTGTGCTGGTACAGGAGCCCAGGGGAACAGCAGAGTCCTGGAGGACGTGTGACCAAGAGAAGGTCAAAGAGGCCTGAGGGAATAGAATGGATAGAAAACAGGGGACATAGGGGGATGGCCACATAAAGGAGAAACTGAAAATGTCTGCAAGACAGAGAGTGGCTGACAGAACCAAGGAGCAGGCAGGACGGGGTAAGGAGGGGACAGAGGCCCAGGTGGAGGGGTCACTTGGAGAGATGGGAGGTGGAGCCCAAGGAGAGGAGGAGAGATTCTGGCACGGGGCTGGCACAGTCCATGAGGCAGAGGATTAGGGCACCTGTGCAGAGGCCCATCAGGGAGCAGCTGGGGCAGAGCAGAGGAGGCCAAGGAACCCTGGAGCTGCCGAAGCTGGCCCCACACAACGGTGAGACCCACACATCTGTGCAGGCCTCTGGGAATACCGTGGCAACTTCCCTGCAGCACTGCGTGAGAGAGAATGGTGGAAACCAAGGGAAAGGTCAAGAGAACTGTGGGCACCAAGGGCTGTAGGCTGGGGTAGGCTAGGACCTGGGAGCTCCAGGGTCCAGGAAGGAGCTGGCCTGAGCAGGGAACTGAGCTTGAGGGTGGGTATCAGCACTGGGGGATGACCAGCTCCCAGCTGAGGCCTCAGAGGGGGATGGAGTCTGGGAGGAGGAGGCCCTGGTGGCGGGAGGCCATGTGCACTTTTGAGTGGAAAATATCCCCGTCCTCACCTGCCTGCTCAGGGGATTTACACTTGTGAGACAAACTCCAGGGTGATCATTTCTATGAAGGTGGTATTTCCCTGAATGTGAGCCCACTGAATACTTTACGTGCACCAAGCCTTACAAAAAGGCCACAGAATTCCAGGAGTGGCCCCAGTGCAAACATCCACAGCGCCAGGCCCAGGACACTGCAGAGGGAGAGCCCTGGTCCATGTGCGGGCAGCTGCCTGACGCTGCGTGACCTGTTAGCGAAGGGTCCCAGCGAGCCCCGTGTGGGAAGGCCCATGGGCATTTCCATACTCACTTCAGTTCTTTCTTCACCTCCTCATAGTCAGCCTGGCCTTTGAGCTTTTCTTCCAGTTGCTGAAAACAGAGAGGAATTTGATTAGTGGTCCCGTCTGCAAGTAGGTAGACGAAGTCAACGAGCACACTCCTGTAGAACACGCCCCTGAGTGAGGAGGCGACCCCGCACACACGGAGGCCGACAGCCTGGGTGCCATCGTTCTGACATAAAACTGAGAGTGAAAGGAAAAAGCTTCCCTGAGGTGGAAAACAGAATGAGGAGACTTTTATTTTGGACCAAATACCAGGAAATAGCAAACCGAGGCACAGATGGGAGCCCAGCATTCAGACAGCAGCGTGTTTTCAGCAAGTGTGCTCTGCTGGCTGGCGTGCACAGTGGCTGGGGACACCTTGGCTGGGACCCCTGCTAACAAGAGACAAGCTCTTTGCTGCGGAGCGTTGATATCATGCAGGCACTAGGAATAGAGCATTTGTGCTTCTGGAGCCCTGGATGTTGGGATTTGGGGAGTGGATGCTTGTTTTCTGGGTGGTCAGGGGTTTCCCTGAGAGGAGACCTGAGCCCTGCAGGGAGGCCTGCCAGGGACCCCACAGTCCCCGTGGTCCTGTGGGGGTGGGGGGGAACAGCACATTGTCAAGGCATAGTGGTGCCCACAGCCCTGCCAGGCTTTCTTGCTAGGAACAGCTGTTGGCATAGGGTGGATCAGTCGAGGGCGCTTCCATTTACGAAGTGCTTTTGGCCTCCCTGCAGAACCCTGCCAGTCCATGCATTTCCAAGTCCATGCATTTCCGGGGCATGAACTCCACTTCCTGAGGTGCCAGTGTCTTCCTGTCTGCAGAGTTTCTAGGTGCTCCTTTAGGCTGTCCTTAATTCAGACCATTCAGGAATCTGGGACGCCCTTCTGGAATCCACAGTGAGCGGCTGTCCTGAGGACGCAGGCCTCTGCAGCCACACCCACTGCGCCGTCTCCTGCTGCCTCGCCAACAATCTCTTGCGCATTTGTTTTCTGTTGCATAAGACTGCTCTCCTAGTTCCCTTTAAGATTTCTCGCCAACTTTATGTATTATGATGGTTTTCTCAGTCACAATCCAATGGGGGGTAGTAGGCACTCATTTTCCCACAAAAGACTCTCAGAAGGTGCTCCCAAAGAAGTGATTATTCCATTCTCTTGACTGTAGTCAAGTGGCAGGAGGCACTGACGTGACAGCCCTCCCTCACAGAGAACATCCAGTGTGGCTGAGAAGCAAAACACGTGGCAGAGAGTGGAGCCCACCAAGGCCAGATGTGGACACTGGCCACTGGTCAGAGCCAGAGAGTGGAAGGGACAGAGAAGAAGGGAGGCGAAGGGGCACTGACTCTGCAGCCTGAGACTGCAGCCCCCACCCATCATGCATAAACTGGGTGTCTCTGGGCAACTTAATAAGCCTCTCACAAAAAAAAACCAGGAACAACACAAGGACTTCAGAGGCCTCCCCAGGCTGAGAACAGGGCAAGTGTGGCAGCTCTGGTACTCATGCTGGGGCTGTTACTGCCGGCACACAGATCACAGCAGGTGTGGCCGCACGTCTCCTCTAAAGACCTGTGACTGGTTCTGATCAAAAGGTTAGGACTGGAATGTGCACATTTTAGACAGTTCTGTCAAGAGCTGAAGAGTATCCACTGACATCTCTGCTGCCTGCCTGGGGCAGCTGGTGAAGAAGGCCCCAGCACCTCTCTTGCCACCCTCTGATGGCATTTCTTATCTTGGGCAAACAAGCCTGGGGAGGCTGCCTGGCCTACAGAGCACCTACAACCTGACCACCTGGCGGTCTCCTTAGACAAGACCTTGCTTGGGCATCAAAACTCAAGACCACCCTGGAGGAGGGGGTGGGCTGCAGACTCGGGGCTATGGCAGACCAGGCAGGAGGAGCACACGGCCCCGCAGCAGCTCTGGCCACTAAGTGCAGACAGGCAACGGAGGCAGCCCACGGCCAAGGTCACCGAAGGAGAACCTGGGGACTGCGGTATCTTCCCAGAAGAAAGCACAAACAGCCCTTCTTTAAACTAGTGGGCTTTGCTGTTTCGAGAACAGTGGTATCGGGTAGAACTGCTTGTTTTGAACTTGGCTGTCTTCCTAGGTGAGCAACTTGTAGTAGGATACTTTCTTGTGATGTGACGCGGGGCAGTGGCAGTGAGCCACAGCTCCCAGTTAGTGCTGCCATCTCAAGGGACAACACCCACAGCCCCCAGTGTACCGCAGTGCTGAGCTGTGATGTCTGTCAGGGTACTAGGAGAACTGGGCCTGGCTGTGGACACAGGGGGCTCAGGAGCCAGACTTTGGGCTGCATGTGAGCTTTCGTGACTCAACCTGGGGAGAGGCAGAACTGACAGGGTCTTCTGAAGGACAGTGATTAGGACTCGAAGGACCTGCTGCTCCCCACGATCTCGTCCACACTGTGGCTGAGTCCATCCACGATTCCAGGAACACAGAGGAGCTCAACAGCCCCCTCAGCTGCTAGGACTGTCTATCCTAAAATCCCAGCTAAGACATAAGTCATAAGCAACTTGATTTAAAGTGCCAAGTACTTGGGCATGCAGTGAGCGAGGCATGCAATTCTAAAAGACTTGTATCTCACTCAAGTCAGAAAACATGGTCCTGGGTGCTTTGAGACTACTGGCAAAGGCCTGTGGTGTATCAGACCCCTGTAAGAAGGGCACAGAGGCCACATCCCTGGGGCCACTGTGGGGGATGGTGTCTGCAACATAGGAGCAGAGCTCGGCTCTCTGTAGGCCTTGCCTATACCCCTGCTTTGGGGACATTGCCTCTCTGCACCTCCTTTCCCAGCTGAAGGGAGGCCCTCTCCTTAGGAAAACCCACCCCCATGATTGCTGGGGAGAGGCAGCAGTTGCGTACAATCGGGCTCTGTCTATGCTGGCCCCAGGTGAGAAGCCCAGGGTCAGCCTGGTGCCTGGTTAGTGAGACCTTGTCTTTCTGGAACCTTCTGAACACCACATCAGATGCTGTGCGTGCCGTGGAGGGTGCTCAGAACACAAGAGGAGGGGAGAGCCACCCTGCCATAGCCAGATGGTGGGGATAGTGAGGGTGACATTGGAGGGCTTGCTCTGACCCTTGGAGGCTCAGGTTAGAGTGGACAGAGAAGCAGGGCCAAGGAAGTGTGGAGGAGGGGCCTCTGCAGAGCAGACAGGTCACCGCTGTCTTTCAGTGGCCATGACCCAGGTCTGACCTGGGCCCTGGGCAGACAGGACTCAACTGCTTGCAGAGCAGGAGGGACCTGGCTCAACATCAGGCCACCTCAATAGTGCTCATCACAGTTGGGGAAGTGGCTACTAAGCTGGGTTGTGTGTGAGCTGCAAGGGTCACTTCACTTGGGGAGCAGGGCCGGGGTGCTGAAGCCCACCAGACTCCCGCCCCTGATGGGCTCCCCTAGGCACTGCAGAGATGCTCACAGGATTTTACAGGAATCTGCTGATGTCTTGCTCTAGCTGGCCAGAGGCCACCTTGGTTCTGAGATGGCACTCTGGGATTGCCTCCAGGGTGGTCCCCTGGGGCCTCGCCCCCTACAGGCAGGCAGCCCCTGCCTCTGCATCAGGGCCCCACACAACTCCCTCCTCACTCCTTCCTTCCTCAGACCTGCTCTGTGCCTTCAAGACCCAGCGAGGACAGTGCCAGTGGAGTCATGTGCTCTGGACACCATCTCAGTGACCCTGGGCGACCCTCAGTGATGTTTGATGTCAGAACTAGCATGTGCCACTCTGAGGTTGAGGCTTCTCTTCTCAGTCACCCCGTTGGCTGATGGTGGCTAAAGTGCGCAGTGTCAGACTAAGTCCCCCTCCACAGCCACAGGATGGACACTGGGCCTGGCCTCCCTGAGCAATGACCATCTTCCTGTCCGTTTGCAGGACTAGTGTCCAAAGGGGCTTGGTCATAGACCTTTTTAAAAAGAGGGGTCTGTATCCACGGCTAGAACCTCGTAGAGGGAATCCTGGGCGGAGAACAGCTGGAGCATCAGGTGTCAGGCCCACACCACTGGGTGACGAGGCCATGTGCCCCAAGGGGCAGCCTCCACAGGCAGGAGCAGTGAGTCCAGGAAGGGCCACCATCTGTCTTCTACCCCAGTGCCTGAGGGACACAGCAGACTCCCACAGTGGCTCCATGGGACCCATCAGAGCCTGAGAAGGTGGGGGGGGCGTGGGTGGGAGCATGTACAGTTGGGAAAGACCCCCAGGTGATGTCAACACACCTGCCCTCCGCCTCAGTGGGAAGAAGTGACCTTTAGAGCATCTTTAGAGAATGCGACTTCTCCTTGCGGGGGAGTGGCACTCTTTAGCTAGCCTTCCTCAAAAATACCCACTTTAAATTGCAGCTATTGGTGACATTATTTTCTCTGCCGGCGCGAGCCTAATGCAGGTGACTGTCTAATTATACTGCCTCTGTATGAGAATGTTCCGACAGAAAACCACCGAACAGAGTTATCAAAAATAGCAGCCTTATCACGACGGCGGGGTTATTTCATTAATTACCAACACAGAATCATCCTCTCCAAAAGGAGCTGTGCTTGAGCACTTGTCAGATTGGGCAAGAAGAAACACCTCCCCCTTCAGAGCCTGCCGCCATGTCTACTTAAGGGTCAGAGGCTGCACCAGGAGGTGTGGAGATGCGCTCGGAACTGTGCTGGGTCATGCAGAGCCCCGGCAGGGATGGTGGTCAACGAGCAACCTCCAGAACCACTGCTCACCTGTCCAGGTGGAAGGAAGGAGTCTTGGTGGGAAAAAGATGGGCAGGTTCAGCATGCGAGAGCACTCGACTATGGGTGGTGCCGTAGGCTGTGTGGGTGGAAAGTACCCAGGAATCCTGCCCACAGAGCCCTTGCCTGTGAAAGGCTCCCTCTCCCCAGGTGACTTCCACAAGCATGTGGGCATTTGTCTCAAAGATCCAGGACCCTCAGCCAGACGCTCACGGCAAGGCCACCTGCCACTCTAGAGAGCTCAGAGTTTCGTCAGAAGGCGCAGCACCCTTTGACAAATAGCACCCCAGTTGTAGCCCCCACTGTGTGACCTGGAGCCCCAATGCTGGCAAACAGCCAAAGGAGAAGAGAACGCAGAGGAGAAAGGGCCATGGGAGAGGGAGAAGCAGCCAGGAAACGCCTGTGCTGGTTAGGAGAGTCCCGTCTCACTCTTGCTGGTTGCTGGTCACCGTCTCTGCGGGGTCAGAGCTCCTTGGGACAAGAGCATAGGGTTGCCAAGGTGACATTTTCCTAATAAGTGTCTCTCTGCCTAGCTCAGGTTGCAGATTCTAAGTTACACACATTAGAAAGCACCCAGAGCCCCGAGAAGCCAGCCCATTCAATTACCCTCACCCCTTGGGGTGAGGGAGGTAGGTGTCCTCCTCTGAGAAAGGGGGAGGCCCTGTGTCGGGTTTGCTCTCTGAGAAATCTTTACTCCTGGTGACAAGGGGTTAAGATAATTAAAATCAGAGCAGTCTCGTTATTAGAGGATATGTTTTGATTATCAGATCAGACGAAGAGGAGGGAGCGATGGTTTTTGGAAGAAGTATTGCCGAATTGTTTCATTAACTGCACAGTATTAAAGAATTCCCCCAAGATACGGATAAAGAACATTCATTTGTGAAACTGCGTTTCATTTTTTGTGAAGGCGAACATTAAAACCTTAACTGATTTAGAAGAAATTGCTCCATAATGAAAAATGGAAGGTCTAGAGTCTCCGTGTCACGACGCCGTGCGCGGGAGGTGTCTGGGTGGCGCCCTGGAACCGTAACGAAGGGAAGAAGGCAAATTATCTAATAACAATGCCACCAGGAGGGTCAGAAATGGCCTTAACGTGAGAAAATTAGATTTAAATCTAGAAATAAAAAAGCGAGTCCTGGTCCTCATCGGGCAAGCTGGTGAGAGGAAGGAGCACTGGAGAAATAATGGCCACGTTAATGAAGGATGGGACCAGCTTCCGACGGTCTCCCCAGGTCTGCAGGGCCTCCTCAGAGAGAGCTGAGCACCTGGCAGTTTCTCAGAAAGTGGATGAAATCTGCCCCAAAGAGGCAAAGATGAATCAGCAAGGGGGAGCTGCAGGCGGCCCTGGTCAGTGATAGACTTGTGCAAATTTGGTTCTGGGTCAAACCTGGTCATGTGTCAAGAAGCAATCTCCATTAAAAAAAGAAAAAAAAGAAAAAGGCCTAACTTCATTCTAGAATCACTTTATGTAAGGAAAACTCTTTTTCTTCTCCTTCACTTCTTTTGTAAAATTTTGAGACAAGGTCTCACCACGTAGCCTCAGCTGACCCCTCATGCTCCCAGGCTCCTATGCTTCTTCTGCCCCAGCCCTGGGTGGCTGGGACTTAGGGGTGCACTACCACTCTGGCTTCATGGAAGTTTTACAACTGACCTTAATCCAACTCATTTAGTAGACTGTGAACAGAAACCAGTCAGTCAGTCATGCACTCAGTGAGGGAAAAACCAAGGCAGGCAGAACAGACTGGAGAGGTACCCGCAGCAGAGCACAAGACCTCTAGCCTGCAGCTGGGCCCCGGCTCTTGTCATTCCTGCCTACCTGTTTGCCAAGGAAGATGCCACTCACCCTGGCTATGATCCCTAGCAATCTAGGGCCTCAGAGCTGTCTGCAGCGCATACCTGACTTTGCAGACTGTGGATACTTTGAAGTAGCATTACTATTATTTAAAACATAAAAAAGGTTCTGGGTTCTGCACTTGGGATAGAGATTTATGAGAAGGCCCTGGGAGCTAGCTTCTGCTAGGCTGCCCAGTGAGTCCACCTGGGAGGAAAGAGACAACCTGCAGCTCTCTGAGCTGAGCCACTGGGCTGACCACAGGCCTAAGTGGCAAAGAAGTGTCCCCCAGATCAGGGTCAGACGGGGCCTCTGTGGAGCACTGTGCTTCCATTTTTTATCCAAGCACAGGAAGAACCAGAGCTTTAGTGGGCGGGGTCCTCTCATCAGGAGAAGCCTGCAGGCCAGCAGAGCTGGACCATGGCACGTCTACACAGATGGCCTCTGACTGTGACAACGCTGTCAGCTCCACGAGGGCACACATTAGCAGGTGGTGTTTCTACCAAGTGCCAGGACACTGGCTCCACATATAAAGAGTGACCCACTGAGAGGGACACATGGTCCACGCAGAGCCTGCAGTGGGGTTCAGGGCGCCATTCTTGCTGTCGGTGCCAGGTAGGCGAGGGTGCACCGCTGGGCCCCAGGGTCCCCTGCCCCAGCCCCCGCAGGGCCTGTACCTTGAGCGTGCTGTTCTTGGCGCTCAGCTGCTGCTCCAGCTGGGAGATCTGGCTGGCCGAGTTCTCCCGCAGCTTGGTGAGGCTGCCCTGGAGTCTCTGCACGTCCTCCACCAGCTGGGCGATCTCCCTCTCCTTGGCGGCCAACTCAACTTCTAGGCTGGAGCGAGTCAGCACCTCTATGGCCTGCTCCTGCGGAGAAGAGGAGAAATGACAAAACCGCACTGGCCTTGGGCAGGTGCTGGGGGTACCTGTGTGGGCAGTGGAGGCAGTGACTACACAGACCTCGGGTGTGCACAGTGAGCTCAGGGTAAGACACTGCTTCCTGCCTTGGCTTGCAAGTGACCTCCAGACCTTCCCCTGCCACCACCCCATCTACATCCCTGGATTCCTTCATTGGACATTTTCCAAGCACACACCAAGTATGTGCAGCAATGAACTACAGGACCAAAGTCCTGGGTAGTGACATGAGCAAGGGCAGCCAGCACTGGGAGACGCCAGAGGCTTTACCAAATGGTCAGGGTAAGTCTACTGAGCTGGGGACTAGGGAGGTGTTGGGAGGAGGTGTTGGGGGATCTAGGGAGGTGTTGGGGGCAGAGTGCTCCTGCCCGGGGAGCGGGAAGCAGGGCGGCTTGGATGGGGGCCAGGATGTTGCTCCAGAACTTGCGTCTTCTACCTCACGCTGCAATTTACTCTCCTTTGGATTCATTATTGAGTATCCACAAGCTGAGATCTCGGTTTGACAGATTTGACCCTTAGCGTTCACATTCCCCAAGAGTTAAAAGATGGGAGCACACTTGGGGTTCCTTTGCTTAGAAACAACTGAGTTGTTTTCTTTCTTCCTTTTTTTCCCCAAAGAAACTTACTCTTTCCTTTCTCTCCAAAATGGTCAGCATGGTAAAATACCCAGAAGAGAAGGTATTCTAAATAAAGTCACGTGTGATTTTGCTTCCCGATGACTTGAGCAGGACTTGTTAAGTTTTAAAAGTAACCTCAGCTTCTGAATAATCTTTTCACAGGCAGATGCGCTTCTGGGCAAGGCCAATAGGGACAGGGGACAGGGCTCCAGGCACCTTGAGAGCAGCTCAGGGTACAGCATGGAATGCCACCACCCTGGCCCTTTCCCACTCCTGAAGCTCACGGCTTTGAGCCTGGATCTTGCTTGTGCTGGGTGGAGAAGGGAGGTGAAGGTGGAAGCTGTGGCCCTGGATGCCAGGAATAGATGTGCTATGCACGACATCCGTATCCCAGGGTTTCCATGTCTGGGACCGGCTAGTCTCCAAGGAAGTACCTCTTCACACCTCCCTGGGCAGTTCAGACCTCCAGCGTGCAGTGCCCAGGAGTGGCTCCTCTGTCTCTTTGCCTTGCTGGACGCCGTCCATCATGTAGCTTACCATCCTGACCTCTGGCAGAGGGTCACATGGTCCCAGGGTCCTGAGCATCTCTAGCCTGTCCCAACCATTCCATGTGGCCCATGTCCATGGGCCGCTGCCAAGTCACCAATGAGTCGAGCACAGCGAGTCCAGTTCAGAAGTGGGGAGTCAGTGTTGGAAACTGAGGAGCCAACTGACATTTTGGTGATGTTTTTTACTGTCTTTTATCAAACTATCAGTGTGTAACAGAATGGAATTTAAAAAACAAAAGTGTCCTTTATCCCAGGGCTTGGAAAGCACCATTTGGGTGCCACTGGGCAGTCCAGCCCCTGAGGGGCTCTGGAGCAGGGAGGAACATGGTGGTAGGGACACAGGCCTGACAGCAGGTGTAGACAGAACCACTCCATTTATGAGCCTCCCACTGGGGGGTGCCTACCACCAATGCTGCCTCCTCTGTAGTCTATGGAACCAGCTGGAAGGGGTCTGGGCTTCACAACGGGCAAGTTCAAGTTGTTGAATCAGACAGTGGTTCAAGTAACTGACTAAAACTCAGCAGCTCTTGGCGCTGGCCCTGGGCCCAGCTGGGGACCTGGGAGTAGGTAGTCCTGAGGGCCACCTGCTGAATTTCTGGGGGCCCACCTGGCCTGGCCACAGGGCTGGGCACATCAGTTGATTCTTGGAACTCAAGTCACAAATTCCCTCGAAAAAGGAAAAAAGCCCAGCTGCCTCCCCTAGGCCGGAGGCCCTGAGATGGCCAACCTCAGGGCAGTAAGACCTGGAGGTGCGGCAGAGAAGAGCACCCCATTCTGTGGCCCAGCCCACGGCTCCCCGACTCCCAGCTGTGGGGGTGCTCCTGATGGTCCCATTGTGAGGACAGAGGGAGGAGGAAGAAAGAAACAGAGAGGGGTCCAGGGGTGACCAGGGGCTGCGGTCAGGGAGAGTGTGGGCCTGGTGATGAGGCCGAGGCTGGGGAGGATACTGGCATAGCTCTGGACGGAAATCCAGGTGGTAGAGTGAACAAAGAGGTCAGGGGCCCAGTGGCAGGTGTTTATGCCACCAAGCTCACGACCCAAGACATAACCCTCTGTGGTCAAGGAGGGCCAGGGCCACCAGCGCTTTCACCTCTGAGGCTCCACCCAGCTGCAAGGAAATCAGGAAATGCTCGTGTCAGGCTCAACTGGAGCCGGGAACTCAGTGCCCGGGGCAGGGCCCAGGCTCCCCTTGTGATCCCGATGGGGCTCAGGGTGAGACCCTGGCTCAGGCAGGGAGGGCAGGAAATCCCCGGGTTCTTGGCTTCCAGGACCTCCAGGGCATGCTACTTGCCCCATGGGGCTCCGGTGGCTCAGGTCCTGGGAGGACACGCAAGGGTGCTTAGCTTGGTCTGAAGGCACTGGCCCAGAAGGGCTTCAGTGAGGAGCACACTCAGAGGGGAAAGCGAACACTGGAACAGGTCCCTGGTGTGGGTGTCTTTTGTGTGTCCCTTTGAACCTATCCCTGTTCCTGGCTCCTAAGCAAGTGCTGAGACCAGAATGCTGGGCCTGACCCAGTGGGCGGTCACCTCGTGTCCAGCAGCCACCTTCGTGGTGATGAGAGCTGGATGGGGAGGAGACGGTGGCCCAGATCTGGGAGGGAAGTGCTGTGTGGAGCTGGGCTGCCCTTTCAGTCTTGTCCCCTCACAGGGAGGTGAGGCAGCAGGAGTTGGCTTGGCTTCTCCTCCTCATGCCACCTGCTCCTGCCTCCACCTCGAGAGCCAGCTGGAGTGGGTGGTGGGATGGAGGTGGCCCTCTTAACAGGACAGCTTGCCTTATCTCCAAAAAAGGGGTGTGTGTGTGGTGTCCAGAGCACTGCGCTTTCACCCTCGTTTGTCTGCAAATCCTCCACTAAGGCCTCTGTGGACCTGCCTCTTGCTGCAGCCCATGATGGGATGGGAGAGGGGTCAGGAGAGTGGCCTTGAGCAGGAAGGACTGGGTCCATACTCCAGCTTATTCTTTTTGCTTTTTTTTTTTTTTTTTTTTTTTAAGCAGTGTTGGGGATGGAACCTAGGGCCTCACACACGCAAGGCAAGCGTTCTGCCACTTAGCTATGTCCCCAACCCTTTTAAAATTATTTTGAGATGGGGCCTTGCCCAATTGCTGAGGTTGGCTTCAAACTCGTGATCCTCCTGCTTCAGCCTCCCACGTAGCTGGGATTACAGGTGTGTGCCACTGTGCCAGACCGGCTTGGTTGTTTCCTAGTGTGTGACGTTAGGAAAGGTAAGCTCCTCTGAGCCCCAGTTTCTTTACCTGTAAAATGACAGTACACAACTTCCCTCTCCTGACTGTGATGCCACGAGGCAGAAATGAAACCCGGAGGCAAGGCTCTGCTCGCTGAGTGACTGTGCATCTTCTAGGACCGTGGTTCTGCTGAGATGCCCATCATGTCGATTTTGGCCTCCGCTAGATCTGTGGACTCTACTGTTCAGCGGCTGAGTTCTGCCGGCCAAGCCCAATAGACCATTTTCCGCTGGCCTGGTTTCTGTGTTGGCTGGAGCCGCAGCTCACAGCCTACAGAGGATGTGGAGCCAGGGACCTGCTCCTGGAAGGCTGAGTCAGTGCCAGGTAAACACTGCGCGAGCCAGTGATGAAGTGTGTACGCGCCCCGGACCCACGACGCACTCTACCTGCGAGAACATTCATTTCCTTTTGAAATGTTTTGGTCGCTGCAGTCCAGGACGGTGCCAGAATTCTTTTCAATCAAAACATTTAGCTCAGGAGCCGTGAGACATGTTAGGATGGACGGCTTCCTCCACAGCCCCGAGGACGGCTACAGAGACCGGGGGAGATGCCAGCCCCAGCACCCAGGGCCTCCTCCCGCCTCAGCCCTGGTGGTGTACCCGGTGCATCTGAGCTTGGGTGAGGGACAGAACAGCCTCTTGGACATCTAAGTTCAAGACCATGAATTACAAAGGTGTGTTGGTGCCTTGAATGGGAACTTTTCTCGGTCCTAAAGCGCTCCAGTCTCACGCTGCATCTGATGTCAATGTAAAGAAAGAAAATTAAAATCGATTCTTATTCTTTTTTTCCGTCTTTGCCGTGCTGGGGATTGAGTCCAGGGCCTCATGTGTACTGGGCGCACTCCACCTGAAAACCCCAGCCCTGTAAGTATGAATACATACCAGCCCAGCCACAAGCCATTCTTAAAAGAAGGAGTCCTGGCACCAGCTGTTTGCTCTAGGTCCAGTCCTGGTGATCACTTAAAAGCTCCAGTCTCAGGTGTCTGAGGAGCCAACTGAGTCCTGGCTCAGCCACTGACCGTGCTCTGGGGCCAGCTGTTGACACTGGGCTTCGTCTCCTCCTCTGGGTAAGGAAACAGCAACACCCTGCTTCACAGGTTAGTGCAATACTGGCTGTCACGAGGGACTTTCCACACAGCGAGGTTTCCCGAGACTGTGCTCTCTGTGGAGGGCCCGGTCCTGTTCCTCCTTGCTAGCCCAGTGCCCTTCACGCTGGGCAGCAGCAAGGGCTCCACGAATCTTTGTTAAATCGAAAGACAGCTATGACTGCCAGGGACTCACTGTGGTCATCAGAGCGAAGGCTTAGTTGGGATCACTTAATCCAGTGGTGGAGTTCAGTGTTGTAGCCTTGGCACCAGCCAAGGAAGGGTGCCCGCTGAGGTTCACTGAGGTCTGTGAGCATGGCAGACATAACTTCCTGACCTCAGGAGACCACTCTTCATGGGCGGACAAACAGACTCAGGGAAGCTAAGCCACTGTCCCCAGCTGATGGACACAGAGCAGGGAGGTGACTTAGGGCTCCAATGCCTGGGGCTCAGCCACCACATTCACCAAGCCGAAGGAGTCTGGGAACCTGATGCTCAAAATCGCCTTGACCATGCTGGGGAAGCTGTGGCTATTTGTTACCTTTAGAAAAGTCAGGCAAAAGGACAAGACTCATGCCTTGCTCCCCCTGGCTACGTGAGGCTGGCAAACTTAGGGTGGGCGGCTATTCTAGGACCTCCTTAGGCTTCTGGACCACTGTGGACTCTCCCCAAAGAAGGTTTCCCCAGGAGGACAGACCCTCGGAATTCCACCCTGTGGAATTCTGGGGAGGCTCCCGTATGCACTCCGCAGCCCCCAGCAGTGACCCAGGCTGGGCTGGGGAGGAGCCCTCAGCACTGGGGAGGCATCAGGCCGGCCCAGGAGCTGAGGCGTCTCCTAGCCTGGACCAGGTTCTCCCCTCAAGTTGTTAAAAGTGTTCCCACCAAACGAGCAGCACTGGCTCAATGTTATCCCAAAAGAGGCGTCAAAACCCCCAGGAAGAAAGGCCCCAAGGCGAGGGCGCAGATGCCCGGGCGGAGCCCCGCAGGCGAGCTACCCACCACATCCGGCGCCTTCTGGATCTGGGAGGCCAGCTGGAGAGAGTGGTTGGCCGAGGAGAGCTGCTCCCGTAAGGTCTCTGCCTCTCGCTGAGCCACCTCTGCCCTCTGAAGGAAATGAAAAGGGGCGAAGAGAGAAAGTACACCCGGTTTAACAACTGACAATTATTACAAGAACATTCATCAATTCATGCCTGACTGACTATAATTGATTTTCCTAAACACTCAACCTAATAAATGCTCGGAAAAAAACATAGAATGTGATGGATTTTTATTTTAAACAGTACAAGGAAGAAATAATTGAGCGATTATGACAGTAATTTAACGCTAGGAGCAAGGAATCCCCTGCTGATACTAATGCTCCGGCCCACTGAATTTCCCAGACTGAATAAATACCAGTGGAAATAGAGTCTTCTGATTCAATTTCTTTCTATTCTCATAGACCGAGAAGATTTTATTGCAGGATTCCTCCTGGGAGTAATTCTCACGGGTAAACAGTGAATTAAAGACACTTTGGCTATTCTCGCCTTAAAACCAGGCGGTGCGTTGGCTCTTTACCCCAGCAGGCCTGGCCATCCCCAAGCCGGGTGGAAAGGCCACTTCTTTTGTGAGGGCTGGACTTTCTTCAAGCATTTTTAACCCTTCACCAGGCATCGTTTTTGAAAATCAATGCTGGGTTTTCAGCTGGCCAGGACAGCCTGGGGACAGTGGAGGGTGGGTAGCCAGGGCCAGCACAGGTGGTGGCAGGAGAAATGTGTGGCCCTCCATCATCTGCTATGACCCAGGACAAGGAAACCACCTCTGCTGCAAAGCCACCTTCCCATTGCATGGAGAGGACAGCTACATCACGAGAGGGCTCTGGGGATGGGCCCCTCTGAGCCTCCACCTATCTGTCTGTGCGACGGGAACACGTGCCTTCTCCCAAGCCTGGCGAGGTCCTGCCATGGACACTCAGCACGCGGGGCATGTGTGGAGGCAGCCTCTCAGGCAGCTCACCCCGGCTTCACAGTTAGGTTTAAGACAAAGCCCCAAGGAGGGAGACAGCAGATGACGACATGGGGCACATGGACTGAGGGTGACTGCGCTTCCTCAGTCTTTTTTTTAGTTGCAGATGGACCCAGACCTTTATTTATTTATTTTAATGTGGTGCTGAGAATTGAACCCAGTCTCACATGTACTAGGCACGTGCTCTGCCACTGAGCCACAACCCCAGCCCTTCTTCAAACATTTTGCAAGTGACATTCCACCAAGAGAAGAGATCAAGGAGGAAAGCCCACGCGAGCAGGGCTATTTTGTTTTTCTTATCTTGAGCTGTGACAGTGTGTGTCTAGTATTTGCAAAGCAAGAACACAGAGAAGTAAGCAGCTGTCCTGCCCTGGTCCTCACAGGCCCATCTACCTGGATGAGGAGGGATTTGGCAGTCTCAGTGACTGAGCGGTGGCAGCCTTACACCTAACACTCCCCACACAGATGAACCAGGACTCCCTGAGCGCAGACGCGGCTGGCAGGCGGGTGGCTGCCTGCCCTTCTCTGTAGGGAACTCTTGGGAAACCCCCTGAGCCTAGTTCATGAGGTGCCTGGCCACGTGTCGGTGCCCAACATGTCCTTCCAGAGTCTCTGCTCCAAACTCAACCCGGGCCCGGCCATTGGGAAAGGTGGCCACGTGCCTGGTGTGGTGAGGACAGTGAGGGCCATCTCAGTCCTTGGCGTCAGGGCTGTGGAGGATTTCTTCTTTAATGTCAAACATTTCCCTCAGTTTATTTCCAAGTTTCTCTGATCATTGTGCCACACGCCTCGAAGTGTCGCCTTCCCTTGCTAGTCAGCTAAGCCCTCGGGCACAGCATCCTGCGACTCTCCAGGATGGAGGTGTGCTTTGACACCCTGAGTCCCTCTTGCTACGCCTGCAGGAGGCTGTTCTGCATCCAGCCAGGTGGAGCCACTGGCTTGACTGTGGCGCTGGTTTTCGGGTGGGGCTGGAAGGCCTGGGGGCAGGTTCAGGAGGCGTCACCAGGAGAGAGGGATGGCCTCTGTGAAGGCCACGGCTCATAGAGCAAGAGACCTGACCAGCCGCTGACCACCCTCCAGACTGTCCTGCATCCAGTCCCCAAGTTCATGTATGATGGCTCAGGCCTGTCTCTTCCTGTCATGGCCTCTCTGGCTTGACCCGGTTACTTCAGCGTGGCTTTCTGGTTACTCCTTCATTTGGCATTTGGTTGGCGTGGCTCATGTGGCTACACAGGCACAAGTCAGAAGAATCACAAGCATCGCAGGTGGAGGAGGGAGCAGGGGACAGGGAGAGAAGGCTGACATGCAGCCGGGACGACCCAGTGTCTGCAGCGATGGCTGCATTAGCCTGCATGGGCAGCTGAGGCACAAAGTAGTCCCCCTCCAGGGTGGTGCCACCTGTCTCAAGGTCTTCCTGAAGAAGTCACAGGGGTGATTTCTGATCTGACCCCAGACTTGGAGTGTGGCTGCTCAGAGCCACGGGGACATAGGCCACACTCCTGTGAGGCAGGCTGGCAGCAGCCCTGGTCCTGAGTGAGCAGCACTCTGCTGAAACCGGTGGTCCCGAGAGGCACCTCCTGCTGACCATCCACCTTCCTAAGGAACGGGGTAAACACCAGAGCGTGGGAAGCGGAGGTGAGCACGAGGGTGAGCAGGACAGCGCTGGCCTTCTGGTGGCAGCCTTGACTGCCTGATAGAGAACAGCCACCGGGGCCGAGGACCAGTGGGGCCCAGAAACCCAGGGCCAGCTATGCCTACCACACAGTGGCATGGCCCGTCTGGCCTCTTTATGCTGTCCTCGTCTCAGAATGGATGACTTTCTAAAGGGACACCACTGGAGTCCCTAAGTGGGTCCTCAGTTATCCCCCGTCCCACCCACCTCTGCATCCACCTGGAGGGTAGGAAGGGGCCGAGTGGGGCCAGCAAACTGAGTGACGATTCCCACCTCAGATGCTGACAGCCCAGCAGTCACAGGAGAGCTTCTGCTCCCCGGCCGGTGTCACACTGGGTGATTCAGGGTGGGCAGCCTGAACTGCGGGCCCACAGTGCCACCTAAACAGGTCCATGGGAAGTGCCTGACTCCCTGATGCCTGGCACACTCCTGGGGGCCAGATGGGCGCCCTGGAGGGACACACCTGAGAATGTGACCTGGGAATGGGCAGCAGCACCGGTCAGCAGTGTCCTAGGGCAGGGCACGGCAGAGGAAGGCAGGCCCGGGGCCAGCCTGACAGGGCGAGGACCAGCAGGCAGGGCTGGTGAGGCCAGACTCGGCCTGGCTTTCTCCGGAGCACAGCCCCAGGGCCAAGGCTCAGACAGAGGACCTGTGCCAGCTCAGGCCCCTCCGGGCCTCCTCCTTAGGAGCTCTGATTCCCTGGTTCTGTTGGATGGTGATGGTGGCCCTAGGTTTCCTCTCTCCTGCTCTGTGTGTGTGTGGCCATCAGACACGGGCTTGGGCAGACCCAAGAGGAGCAAGACCCTAAGAGACCCAGCAGCCCTGCAAGCTGATGGGGGACCATGTCCCTCCACGGCATCCAGACTGCTGGAGAGAGCCCCATCGGTGACTGCAGGGAGAGGTGAGGAGGCGCAGAGGAGAAACTCTGGTGCATGTCCTAGTGGTCACTGCACAGGCAGTGTGCCAGTTCAGAGCCATGGCCAGTGCTGCCGGAGTCACACTGGATGTTGAGGCTGCAAGGAGAGCAACACACCTGTGCACCTGCTGCATGTCACAGGCTGGGGCATGTTTCAGGAGAGCCAAAGCAAACCACATAACTCTGCCTGCCACACAGGTCCTCCACGTGTGCGCCTGACCTTGGTGGAAGTCCATTCATGGTGGGGAAACCCAAGGTTCCCAGGGGGCCTAAGACAGCACCATCATGTCCGTGGCTGGCTCTGTGGAAGGGCCCTGGACAGCCTGGGAGGCCAGTGTGTCCTCAGTACTAGGAGTGGCCAACAGAGCCCCAACAGAGGAGCCCCAAGAGAGGCCTGTCCAAGCAACAGATGAATGAAGCACTTCCCTCACTCCATGGACAGGACGCCCAGGCCTGGGGCTGGGGATTTGCTAAACCAAGTGGGTGGAGAATGCCGGTGTCTGCCCCAGAGCCAGGCACCCTCGCCCATGGGAATGTGAAACCTGGCCCCAGAATGCAGGGCCTGCGAGTTCCTTCTGTTCTGCGCTGCTCTGCCGGGCTCCTTCTCCTTGCTGAGGCTCCACTGAGGTTTCCAGCCCCAACCTTAGCCTGAAGGGTCTTCCCCGAAGGCAGCCTTGAGCCATGAAAACCAGACAGGTCAACAGGACCAGGACAGTTTGCTTAGATGGCTTCCTTCTCCCACTGCCCAGGCTGCCCACGACTTGAACCAGGGCTGCTGCAGGGAGGGACATGGCAGCCACAATCCAGCGCAGGGCAGACCTGGCGGTCCCACCTCTGCTCCTCTTTACCAGAAGCCTCGGAGTTCTACACCTTTATGGTCACACTTAACATGGGAATATTAGTGCAAGGGCCTCAACGTCGGGCCAGCAGGGGTCAAGGAGACCCTCCCTACGGACAGCTGCTGCCTGGTTTTCCATGACGGAAACCAGCACCTGAGCAAGCAAACAGAGCTTCAGGTCTGAGAACGTCTTGCTATAAACCTGGTGTGAAATAATGTTCTGTGCCAATGAACTAGTAAATCGCTCCTCCTGGGGGTCCCGGCGGGGAGGCGGCTGATGCATGGCTCTGTGCAGCTCTGCTTTGGGCCAGCCCTCGTCTGTGGGGATTGCTCCCCTTGGGCTCTGCGGCTTTCTGTGCCCTGTCACCATAGCTACTTAGGGCGTTCCTGGATTCCAGTCTTCCCACTCCCGTCCACTCTGCGTGGCCAAAGAGCCTCCAGAGCACACACCGGTATCCTGACTCCAGCTGCTCTTTGCAGCAGGAAGCCTCTGCCCCCCGCCCACCTGCCTACCTACCCAGAGCCCACTGTCCAGCCGGCACCTCCTGGGACCCTGCCCTTCTACAACTGCCAGGGGTGCCGTCCTTCTCATGCCTGCTGGCCCGGGAGCTCTCCTCAGAGGTCCAGGTCAGCTTCCACTTGCTTTCCCGTCAACATTCCAGGGCTTGCAACCTGGCTACTTACTTGGGTACCTTCTTGTACGAGTGGGCTTACCTATATTCTCATAGAATCCTAAACTCCAGCTTTAGCAGAGATCCATCAGGTCAGTCACCCTGTTTCTCCCTCTTGTCCCCTCTGTGTCTGAACCCCCATCTCCTACTGGTGGCAAGGACTGATCCGTGCCTCCCTGCACAGCTCTGAGGACAGGAGCATATGTGCATCAGCGCACCACCCTGCAGAGCTCTGCCAAGAGGTGCATCTTCTTACTACCAGCCTCTACGCTTGGCCGCAGTCCTCTGAGTATTATGGAAAAATCCTGCCCCTGTGCCCTGGCTGGCCGTGAGAGCTTCAGGGTCAGACCTCAGGGCCCATCCAATGGCCCCTTTCTCATATTTTAGCACCCCAGGTTCCCGAAGGTATTCCTTGAGCTCTTTTCAGTTATAGGTGGTCACAATACCTTTATTTTACTTATTTTTATGAGGTGCTAAGAATCAGACCCAGGGTCTCACACGTGCTAAGCAAGCACTCTGCCACTGAGCCCCAGCCCCAGCCTTATGAGCCTTCTCTCCCTGATTTCCAAAGACCAGGAATGGCCCTGAGCCTCTAGTTTCTTTGGTGTTAGGGTCCCCCGATCCTGGCTGTGGAGTGGAGCCAGACCGTGGAGCCGCTTTCTTTACTGTGGCTTCTAGTCCAAAATGGGCTTTCCCGGGCATGGACTAATGGCCCCTGAGCTGACCACCCTCTGTGTTCTAGAAACTCTGTAGCGATGGGGTAGCCTTGAGGCTATTAACTCAGGCTGGGCTTTCAGTGCCAGAGCTGCACCTCATGGGGCAGTCCCTTTTGGGGTTCCCTGCCAGGCCTGTCCCCTCCCCGCACCGCACTCCCCCTCCTCTGAAGAGTCTTGCAAGGCAAGTAGAGCTCCAGCTGCCGTGGCCCTCTGTCCTCTCAGAGCGTTTAAAGCTTTCGGCTTTGTAGGGTACAGTGTGAGGTCCACCATCGCTACACTGGTGCGTACAGTTCAGTAGTGTTAGCTACAGTCACCTTGGTGTGTAACCAATTCCAGAACCTTCCCATCCTGCAAGACAGCACCTCCGCCTACCCAACATCCCATGTCCCCCTCCTGTCCCTGGCCTACGCAGCTGTACTTGGTGACTCCATGACTCTGCCTCCCTAGACACTACATCCGCAGAGTCACACAGTAGATGTCGTTTGTGGATGGCTTATTTTCTTAAAAAATGTCCTTAAGGTTCATCTTTTCTTTTCTTTTTTAAGATTAAGACATCCATGAGGCTAAGAAACCTGTTGGAGCCATACAACCAGGAGATCCAAGTTAGAGCCACACCAAGTGTCACTGTGGAGTGGCACCTATTTCTATGGTCCTGCCTGATGCCCCTGAAGACACTTTGAGAAGGGCACCAATTGCCAAATGGCTCTGTCACCTGAGAATGGCCTCTACCCCCCTGAGGTCAGTTCCAACAGAGCACCTGACGCTTGCAGACTCAGACTGTTGGCCGAGAGACCGGGGCTTACCCAAAGGTGCCAGCCCAAGGGGGCCATGCCCATGGCAGGCCTCGGGGGAGGCTGGGAGGAAATCTTGAGAGGTACAAACACAACCAGGTGACAAAGATGATGCCCTCCTCTCAGCAGCTACTTCTAACTCAGGCTCTGCCACGTGCGGCCGTGCGGACTGAGCTGGGGAGGGGCTGGCACAGCAGGGCCGCCATTGGCAATGGCACAGACTACAAGGAGCTGGTGGCAAGTGCTCTACGACCCTGTTTCTGGGTGTTCCAGGTGGTCAAGAGCACAGCCTTCAAAGTTAGACTTTGGGGATCCAGGTTTGGCTCTGCACCTGACCAGCCACTAACCTGCTTTCCCACATGTATGGTGGGAATCCCGACAGCACTGACCTCAGTGGATGGCCATGTGGCGGAGGGGACCGGGCCTAGGCAGAAGCCAGGGCTCCAGAGCTCTGACTAGAGCCGGGCCACTCACCCCACATGACTCAACCCCACCCACCCCTGCCCCATCAGCCCTGGATCCAGGGTGGGTGTAAGGCCCAACAACACACCAGTGAAGTCCTGAAGGGCTGGCCCGGTGCTGGAGCTGACTTTGCCGCTCCAGCCTGTGGGGGAGGGGACATGTGGGGGAGGGACATGGAGGCCCTCCTCAGTGCTGGCCCTGGCCTAGGCGAGCAGTGCCCACAAAGGCGGGAGCCTGTGGGGCCTTTGCAGGGTGGGCGGAGCCTGTAGGGAGCCCAGAAAGCACTCTGCTCCAACGGTGAGGCGAGCATGCTCCCTGGGCGACCTGGGGCCACCCAGCTGTAAAACTGAACGGGGAGAAGCCGCAGCTCTGAGGCCCACCACTGCTGTGGCTGCTTCTCCCACAGTGAGGAACACACGTGGGGGACTCCTGCCCCTCTAGGCGGTGGCAGCACCACCGTCTGCCGAAGCAAGGTGCTCTGTGACCTGCAGAGGGCAGGGGTGGGGTGGCTGGACTGTCTGGGCGGCTGATGTTTGGAACCCCCTGATCCCGGGGGCACCTGTTCTGTGATGGGCATTTCCCAGAGGGCATGTCTGACCACTGGGCACCGGGAAAGAGGGGCTGCACCCAGCTGCCCCTCCAGATCAATAGACTTTACCCCCTGGAAGGTGGCCATGCAGATCGCTCTATCATGTGATTCTACCACATGGCTCTCTACCACATAACACGTGCCGCAGGGACAGAGGGTCTTGAAAAAGAAAAAGTAGCGCCTCTGGAGTGGACATCCCCATGGGATGACCAAGATGCTCCGGTCATAAGCAAACCTTTGCCAGGGAAACGAGGCTGCTAGTCTCACGTGTTTTCCAATGTCACACAACATCACATGAGACCAACACGAGACCGAAGTGACACCGTTAGGTAAAAACACCAGAACAACCAGCCTCCGAATGAGCACGAGGCGGCTGAGTCGGCAGGATGGGCGCCACTGCAGTTCTGTGCCAAGGCCTGTGGAGAGCCTACCTGGTTTGCTCTTTCCAGGTCGGTCATGATCATTTCGATCTCGTCGGCCCTAGGAAGGTGAGAGGAGAGAGGGGGTTAGCTGGCAACAAGGCAGGCCCAGGAGTGACACAGGACAGGCTTTCCGGCTCTGCACTAGGCAGGACACCATATTCACTGGGCAAGGTGGGGTCCCGGCACGGGGGAGGGGTCCCAGCAGCCACAGGTAGGAGGTGGGCTCCTGCGGGGGTGGCCCACCTGTGGTTTCATTCTTCTGATGACCTTGTGTCTGGGGAGCAGGGACCCCCTGTCCTGGAGGGGCTCCTAACCTTCTGGGGGGGGTCAGAGCCATAAAAGGTAAAATACACTGTGTCCTGCTAAGCAGAGCTCTAGCTAGAGCACTCCAGGAGACAGGGCGCTGTGGGGGTAGGGACACGGCCGGGCTCACTGCGCCCTAGCTTGCCCCTAGCAGCGCAGTCTCCAGGGTCTTGCTTTTGTGTTTCAGAGTCCTTCCTTGGGCAGCGTGAAGCCACACGCGGTCCTGACACACCACCGTGAGTGAGGAGAGCAGTCCCTCAGGGAAGGCTGCCAACACCCAAGGCCTATGGCGGCTGGAAGAGGACACAGGGCAACCCACCACCCCCTTGAGATAGGTCCTGCTGACCGCCTGTGAGGACACAGAATGAGTAGCTGTGACCCCAGAGAGGTGCCAGCATGTCCTTGGGGCCCAAGACAACATGATGGTTACCAGCCCTGGCTGGGGTGCTGGGCCCTGTTCTGTGTCCCCGTGTACCTGGGCGCCCTCTGTTGCCCACTTCCACTGTGTCACAGCTTTCCCACACCAGGCTCCTGCCCTCCACTCAGCCTTGCCCAGGGCTCATTCTCATGGCCCTGTGTCCCCACAACTTCCACCTTGAGCAGGAGCCAACTCTGCTCAGGCCCCGCTACTCCCAGCCCTCCCCAGTCCTTCCGGGTTCTGTCTGAGGCTGTGGCACATGCCCTCTCCCTCACTGGAACCCCCAAACACGGTGAGCTCTCTGAAGGCCAGGCTGAGTGTCTCCTTGGTACCCGGTCCCTGGACTTGGCACTGTATCTGGAATGGGCCAGAGGCCTGCATGTGCCTCATGCCAGGCCCAGGCAGGTCCACTCCCTGGGACAGCCCAGGGACCCACCCTCTCCTCACACTGAGCAGGCGCACGTCTTCAGGTCCCTGGACTGCCCAGTGGTCCAGGCCGGGGTTTCTCTGGCCCACCTCTGCACGCGGGGATCTGAGGCAATCTTATCAACTCCCAGTGGCCTGGCGGGTGACGGACACCTTGGGATCAGGTTCAGTGCATTGTATCTGAAATAGTAGCTGCTTTCAGACTGGCCCGAGTAAAGTCTGGAACAGCCGTGGAATGGCCTAGTTAAATGGAGCTATTTTTAGGACGGGTTTCATGGGGAAGGCAGTGTCGCTGTGAGATAAAAACCCAACTGGGCCCCTGCTGTGAGGTGCTGGGCGAGAGCGGAAGGGGGGCAGTGGGCTAATACACGGAACAGTCTATGGGGCCACCCCACGCCCAAACTCCACGCCCTAGGGAAGAGCTGCTGGGCAGAGACGTTCTAATAATCACGGAGGATTAAAACCCATCATTCACGAGCCAAGGGTCCTAAACATGAGAAGAGGAAGATCAGAGTCCAGGCGGAAAGCCACCTCCTGTCCCCACCGCCTGAGGATGAAGGACGCAGAGCTGCACCCCAGCAGGCACAAAAGGAAACAAAGCAATGACTCCTCTCAGGTGAACTGCAAGTTTCGCACACAGTTCTGAGCTTTAATCAGGCAGTTCTTCATCGGCAGTTCAGGAGGCCCAGGGCACATGGCCGATGCCCCAGACATCCCGGACACCCCCATCCGCTCACTGGTTCACGGGCTCCTTGAGTGTCTGACACCTCATGCCTCATGGCGCCAGGAGGCAGGCAGAGACCCAGACGTGGTTCACGTATCTCGCCAGTGCCACAGACTTAGGAGAACCGACGCCACGCGTGGCTGCCGAGCACCCCAAGACAGACCTGCAGGGAGAGGGCAGAGCCGCCTCTCCCTCCCTCAGGGGCACCTGCAGAGCTGGCTGCAGAACCTGGGAGGCGAGCGGTGCCCGCTGGCCTGGGTGAGCAGAGGCCCGAGTGCATGTCCAGGCAGGGACTTCTGTGAATCGCTCCTGTTGGTCCTTTGTGGGCTGTTCCCGAGTCGCAGCTAACCTCCTTGGGTTGACAATGCTTCCTTTGCTCTGTTTGAGACTCATCGTTCGGAATCGAGCTGCTTCTGTCCTTGGCGTCACTCAACCTTTGTCTTCTATTTTGCTCTTTTCCTGCAGCCTTCTGGAGGCTTCCTGAATAGGCCCTGAGTGCTTGTGGGCTGTGCCGCCACTCAGGGCTGTGCCCCCCCTCTTCCTGCTTTGCTCCTCTAGGTCCTCTCCAAACCTGTTGTTTCCACCTGGTTCATTTTCCCACCAAGCCTACCTTTTGCATTACCTGTTTTTTTGAGTCCATTTCTCAGCCTGATTTGTTCTTGTGGCCCATCTGTCCCCTCAGGTCACATGCACCAAGGGGTGTGGGGTCTTTCAGAGGACAGCCATTTTACCTCTGGGCTCTGATACCCTGGGGAGAGCCGGTGACCCCTTGGGGCAGTGGGTAGGTCAGGGAGGTCAGAGAATCGAGCCCTATTGTGAGTGCCAAGATGAACGGAAGAGAAAGACGCACAGCAGGGGTCCGGCAGGTTTTGCTGAAGAAGGAAGGGAAGGCCTCTGGCCCCCAACTGCTCACTGATGACTCCCCTTAGCTGCCCCTCCACTAGGAAACCCTCCAGCCAGAGCTGGGCCTCCCCTTCCCTGCCAGGGGCAGCAGTGCCAGGAGGAGGCCTCTTGGGTGCAATCCCCATCCTGGACATCTGGAGCAAAGGGTTGGCTCCCCACCCCTTGTCTGGGAGAGCACCAGGAAGAGGGGTTCCGAGAGGCTGGCCTCACAGAGGCATCAGGGCTGGGCTGGGGTGCTGAGGGCTGGGAGTGGTGCCCCCATAGTCTTGGGTCAGGGGGCCCAGGTGGGCTTGGGAGCTCTCCTGCAGATGTGGAGACTCTAGCCTTGGCTGTTCATTAGGATTCTTAACATCTAGGAAACTATGCCTCATATTTCTGAAATATTTCAAGTCACTTATAAAAAGTTAGTCACATTTAAACAGGAAGGTGCCTTCTCGGCTGTCTGCAGCAATCCCTGGAAATGAATTTCAAGTTTTCCATCTACAGGTCAGTTTAACTCGGGTTCCTAAGCAACTGCCGAACTGACCAAAATATTGGGCTTGCTAACGACCTCTGCCCTAGCCTTTCATGGGGACAGCAGCTCCTGTCCTCCCCCAGCTTTCGGAGGACGATGACCACCCTTGAGCTTTGCCTCGTGGGGCAGGTTATTCACACCAGGTACGGTGCTGACAGCTGGGCCCAGGGGGCTGCAGCTCCTGATCCCAAAAGGAGACAGTGTGGGGAGAGGGGATCCCGCTGGAGAGGCTGAGTTCAGGTCATCTGCAGGATCCCTACTAATTTTTTGGAGGGGCATTTTTTTTTTTAAAGGTCAAAGAGAACACAGCTCGCTCCAGCCAGGTGGGAGCTGAAGTGCAACGGGCGGCGGGAGGCGCGTGGTGCGGCCCTGGCACTTGCGAGGCTGGCCTAAGAACGGCCTCTCTGTCTTTAGAACACACTTGCACACCAAGCGGCCACCCACGCCTCCCAACATCCACCCTGCCAGACCCACACCCTGAATCAGCAGGACGAGCGCACCCCCAGGTGAGTATCAGCCACCAGGAGGGGTCCTAAGGCGGGGATGATACACCGTGGCCTCAGTGGCCTCCCCGGCCCAGCCTCCAGATGCACTTCTTTTCATTCCGCAGGCTCCACGGCCGCCCACCATCTGGAGCCTGACATTAGTCTAAAATCATTTATTTTCCAAAGTCCGTAAGAATCGCACATATTGTTTGCTCAGCAGAACGATTTATTATAAAAATCTAGTTCCCTCACCTTTTTACGAGCTGACAAAACAGCTTCCCCTGATCTATTAACCTGGGCTGCATTATGCTCTGCTCCGACTCCAGCGGCAGATAATTTCAGTTTGGCCCGGAATATATAGTTCATTCATCCGCTCCCTGCACATCATTCCAGGGTATTCTCTGGGCGAACACACAATTTTTATGAGGAACTTGAAAGGACGTGGTCAAGGTTGATGGAAAGGAAATTATACCCACGCTAGACACAGTGTATTTCCTTTCACATGCGCCTCCTGAGTGCTGGCGTCCGGCACCAGGGCAAGGCTGTGTGCACTTCAGTACCCAAACAATCACAGTGCCACCAGGAGCTGCTAAAACAGAGAACACCCTGCCCTCCGTATCTGCACATTCCACATCCACGGGTTCCACCAACCGTGGATCAAAATATTCAGAAAACCTGCACCTGTTCTGAACACGTACAGACTCTCCCCTAGACGCCATCCCCCAGTGACGCAGCACAACTATTTACACAGTGACTGCACAGGGCCGGGTACTGTAAGTCACCTGGAGACAAAGTGCTATCCCAGTGTAGATTCTGGAGTACCTGGGGTCCCAGAATCCATCTTCTTGGGTATAAAGTGACAGAATGACACCTGTGTGTCTATGGGGCAGCCGAGGGAAGGAACAGGACAGTCTTCAAGAGCAGTCAAGTCAAAAGCCAAAGAGGCTTGGTACCAGATTGTGCAATTCTTTGGCGTCAAACAGAGAAATATCTAAAGATGGAATCTCCCTGCTTTAAAGAAGATTCCCCCTAATATGTCCAGGACACACACTCTCCTTGGCACACCTCTGTACCAGGGGTGAGTCTGTGGCTAAGGTAGGTCCTTCTCCTGACAACCTGTGGGCCAGGCTGGTGCAGCCAAGGGGGGCTCAGCTGGGTGGGCTTGCTGGACCCAGCTCAGGTGGGGGGGGGCAAGGGATGGGCCAGGAGGTCTCTTGGTAGTGGGGCTGGAATCCCCTCCATGGGGAGATTCCCTGGCCACGTGGGAGCAGCTGGGAAGGGTAGG